CACACGGCCCCACCAACAGGACCCTCTTAGACACATTCTCTCTCTTACACACACGGCCCCTGCAACAGGACCCTCTTACACACTCACACTCACACACAGCCCCTCCAACAGGGCCTTCTGACACACACATTCCCTGTTACACATCCCCACACATTCCCTCCTACACACTCAAACGCTCACACGGACTGACTGACACACTATCCTTCACACACACACACACACCCTCCAACAGGGCCCTCTCACACACACAGTCAGTCCCCAGTCCTGCACACACCCTCCCACAGGGCTCCGTTAGAGCAAGCCCTTGGCCATGCCTGTCCTGCCCCGGGGCGGGTTGGGACTACTCGGCCCGGAGCTCCTGTAAGGCAGCCATAAACTCCTGGCCTGCAGTCCCTGCTCCTGCTGCACACCTCAGCCCTTTGGGAATGAAGGACAATTAGCTCAGTGTTCTGGCCAGGCCAGGGTCCAGCTCCTGCTGCTGTGGCCAGATCCCAGGTTCCAAAGTCCCATAGGCCTTGGGTCTGCCAACGGCTTCTCAGCCCAACCTGACCACCTACTCTCAGAGGGCTCCTGGCAGCCCAGCAGGGACCACCCTCCACCCAGGAAGAGCCCAGTGTCCAGCCTCAGGCAGCAAGCTCCCCACTGCAAGGGCCTCCAGTTCCCTGGACGGAGGTCCACAGGACCTGGCTCTCTGTGGGCTGGGGTTAGCTCGGTTCTTCTCCTGTGAGGTGGCCACACCGGCAAGCAGAGGACAGGCATCAGGGTACGAGGGCTCCTGTGCAATGTGGCCGTCTCCTACAGCAAGAGGACAGTGACTTGGGGTCACAGTGAGCACCCACCACCAGGGCCGCAGCTCCCTTGAAGCAGACCTGGCCCCAGACACAGGCCCCTGGCATGCTCGCCAGCATGGCTCTGGCGTGGGCTGGGTGCTCCACAGGAAATTCAGAGTTGGGATGGTGTGGACGAGGGCTGCCCTGGAGCCCAGAGGTCCGGGCCCTGCTGGACTCCAAAGCAGCCTCCACTGTGGGCTCTTCCTCTCCGCCGTCTCTCAGAGCCACCGTCCCTGAGGAGCAACTGAGGCTCACGTGCCAGTCAGGAGAGGGAGGCTGTTTGCGAAGGGGTTCAAAGGCCTGGCACTGCATCAGCTGGACTCTTGTGGCCTTGACATCCCCGTGGCAGAGGGGGAGGGGCGCTGGTGGGGGGAAGGAGAAACGGCCAGACAGGATCCAGGGAGCAGAGGGCCCAGGCTGGGCTTTGCCACTGCCACTCAAGGCAGCCAGAGGGCCACCCCGCCCCGCCCCTGGAGAGGCCTTGAACCTTCTGCGACGGGTCCCTCAACCCCAGCCTCCTGAAGGGCCACCCTGGGCATCGAGCCTCCAACTCCGGCTCCCTCAGGCAAACCCCCAACCCAGCAGCCCACAGGGAATAGTTCCCAGGCCTGGGCTGCGCAGGCTCTTCCCGCCGCCGCCGCACACTCATCGGCCACACCACCCACTGTCCTCCCCAGCACAAGGAACAGGGCCTGGCTGACCAGTGTCCTCTGATCCACAGCGTCACAGACTGCACATGGGTTGTCAGGCTCTTCCAGCGGGGCCTGTGTGGCTGGGATTCATAGGACCAGAGAGAGAATGGTGACAATCACCTTGCAGACCGCAGCATTCAGGCCCCTCTCAAGCCAAGCTGCCTGGAAGGTGGAGGATGGCCCCCTCCTGGCCAGAGAGGCGGCTTGTCACCTGCTGCACTCAGCCCAAGGTGGCAGGAAGAGCCGTCCATCTGGGTAAACAAGGCCCAGCTTGCAAGACACTGGCTGGGCAGAGGGAAATCTGCAGGCAACAGGACAGTGACTCCCAGCATGGGAGGGCAAAAGCCACCCATGACGCCACAGCAGCAAAACTCTTGAGCATCATCCTCCACCCCAGAACCAGACCAGAACCACCGAGCTGCAGGAAGGAGCAGAACACGTGGGAAGGAGCAGAACCACCAGGGAAGGAGCTGAGCCAGGCAGGGAAGGTGTATAACCACAGGGAGGGCAGAACCACCTGGAAAGGAGCAGAACCACCAGGAAGGAGCAGAACCACCAGGAGGAGCAGAACCACCAGGAGGAGCAGAACCACCAGGAGGAGCAGAACCACCAGGAGGAGCAGAACCACCAGGAGGAGCAGA